GTGCTGGCCTCGGCCCTGCATGCGCTGGAGAAGAGGCGCCTTGTTCCCACTCGCACCGCGGAATAAGGAGCCCTTCACTCAGGAATATTCCTGTGACCTAACATTACCTCCCTGGGCTGGAACCTGGCCTGCACCCAGGCTCCCTCCTGAATCATCCAGCGGAGCCCTCGCGGCTCTCACCACTGACTACGGAGAAAATAGACGAAATCACCTTCCTATTTTAGGCACCTAAATTACATGGCTTGAGACCTGGGATCTGTTTTGTGCATTTTGGTATCTTTCGCTGGCTGCTGAATAGGAAGCGAGCTGCCTTTGGCTGAGCTTTTTTTCTCATTTCTCTCATGATTCTGTCTTGATTCTTTCCCTGCCTTAGTGTTTGTTCTTTATACCCAGCTTCTGCTTGCTATTGTGTTATTTTGGTACCACAATTAATTAGTTCCAGGCACTGTGCTATTTGAAGTGCAGTGTTTTAGCTCGAGCTCTGTGCTAATTGAAAAGCAGTCGCGATTCTAGAATTAGAGATGTTTCTAGATGCAGATAGCGAAGTAGCATAAATATGATGCTTTTATACTGAAGGGCTGTCTTAAGATGGTGGAGAAAACTCATTTTAGTCAGGGATTTCAGACTGCAGTAATTTTACTGGTAGAAAGCTTTTTCTTGCTTGCTTTTCAGCCTGTCGGAGGTAATGTGCAGGCTGGGTCTGCCCCTGCTGCCCCCTCAGCAATTCCTCCCACAGAGAGGCACGGGGGAGCACGACATCCTGCAGATGCAGCTTCCAAGAAGGACATTTTTATTTGCAGCTTCAGTAACTGCTGTTTCTTGATAGTGCAGACTGCATCTCTTTCAGATTTTTGATATTGTTTAAGTATTTTAAACCTTTTTCTAACTTCTGCTTTCAGATGTTCAGCTTTGAAGCTTGTATGTTTTATTGGTTGTGTTATCCAGAAAGCTGAATATTGTCCTGAATCTTGTTTTTGACAGTTATTCACATGTGTTTGTGGTGCTTTTTTTTCCCCTCAGATCTGATAAAATGTACTTCTGAAGAGAAAGGTTCAAAATGTGCTAAAATTTGTCAAGGTCAGATTTGACACAGAAAGGCAAAACCAATTTTGCAATGATTTTAATCAGGTCACCTGGAATGATAACCTTACTTCTATTGCTAATTGAAATCCTTGGAAAAAAATGCTACTTATATTCCGTGTACGTAACTGGACTTGCCAGACATCCAGATTTGACTGTCACTCTTTCAGGGCTCGTTAGAGAACAGGGGTGAATCTCACCTTAGCCAATTAAAAATCAAGGTCCAAGGGGTTTGGAACCGCTAATTTTGCTAGTGGAAGAACAAGGTTTGACCTTTGCTCGTGGTGCACACGTGAGCATTTCCACCTCCGATCCGCCCCCCAGAAATAGCTGGCGAAGCAGAAAGCTCCGGTGTGCGCCGCCACTGCCGTTGTCTCGCAGTGACCCCCCCGGGAGGGAAGGTGCCACTCACGCCGCCGCCGTGCAGCAGCGGGCCCTGCTGCCTGCGTGCACATCACATCGCGCAGCGCTGCGGCGCGCGGCAGCCTGGAAACGCTCCTCGGCCAAGCCAGAGCGTATGTTTTATTGTAGGGCATATGAACGTATGCAGAGCCGTGGTGGCTTAGCCACCTATGTACAGCATGAGGAAAGAAAAACTACCACCTTGTGAGCAGAGGTGCTGTGGAGTTGGATAATGCATGTTTGCAAAATGTTGTGCAATGGCATGAAGCATAAAGTATCTTTGTGTATTTACTTGTAGAAATATTCCTTTCTCTGTCTCCCTGGCGCCCAGAGCGGATGGGCAGATAGTGAGCATAATTAGTGCGCATGGTGTGCCCTTCACAAGTGACTTTGGCTTTTGCAAATCACCCGTGGTGGTCAAGCGGGTGATCAAAGGACAGCTGTGTGTCCTATACTCGTGTTCGTAGAACCACAAGTTTCAGCGGCCGAAGAAGTGGCCAGCACTGCTTCCCAAGTGGTGTTTTCCTTTGATCCCCAAGCTCTATTCCGTTTTTATTGTCAAAGAGAGGTTGTTTTTCTTGCAGCTCTAAGAAGATAAAACAGTGAGTATCACGTTGACAGCAAGGATTTGGAGATACAAAACAAGAGCAAAACAGTATAAATACATATTAGATACAGAGTTGTAGAAAAAAAGCCATGGTAAAGCCACAGGCCAGCAACTCCTGTCACATGTTTCCATTATGCTATTTTTCCTTCAGCAAACTGCTTATCATGAATAGTCCCTTGGTTCAAACCACATAATACAGTGAATGGCAACTAAGCATTCCTCTTTTTTTTCTTTATGCTATTTAATTTTAATAAATGCATTGGATAGAAAATTATTATTGAACAAATGATAAAGCACAGTTAATTCTATTTAAATAATAAAATCCTATTAGAATCCATTCTAAGAAATGTTCCAAAATGTTTCTTGAGACATTTGGTATATGGAATCCATGGAACCCACATTACAGCAAAGAGGACTTTCTTAGGCAGAAAGAGGAAGCTGCTTCACCATTGAGAGGAGCCTCTTTTTTTGGGGACCACTGCTAGTTATAACAGGTCAGGACAGAATGAGCATTTCTGGAGAAATTGCCATCCCTACTACTCTTCAAGCCTTTAAGATGTGGTTCAAAGCTCAATGCAGTCAGTGGAAAAAGTGCCAGTTCAGTGATTTCATATCTTAATGTTTACCAACTCTCATTCTTTCTTGATAAGCAATAAAAAAACCCAACCAAACCCAAAATCAAAGCCAAAATTAAACAAATAAAGTATTTTATCCACTTTATCCAAAATATTTTATCCATATTCATAGGAGTTAATCAAAAAGGTGCTCCATTAAAATAGCAAAATTTAATTTTGCAAAGTGTATTTCATATACACTGCATTCAAAATAAATCTGCTTACAAGCTCTCCAGTGAAAAACAATGATTTTGTTGAAACTGAGTTGACTATCCCCCAAAATCTGGAACTTTCCATGGGCTCGAGAAGACCGTCAGGTGACCTGCGTCTTATCAGGTGAGAAAAACAACTGGAGGCCTTCTGTATGGAATGGTGGCTGTTACTGGCGTTAGATCAATCTTAGTATTAATATTTTAATAAAAGCATCTTTAAAAAAATCACCTGGAGCTGGCTTGCAACACACAACAAACAAATCTTTATTAAGAAACATCATTGCCACATTGCCATGGCCCATTTTTGTAGTACGCCCTGAGGGGGACGCACCCTAGGGCATTTCAGAGGCATTAAACTCAGGGTTATGAAATACGCGGACAAGGTCTATGGACACATTGGCTTTCAGAATCGAGTACAATCAAGCAGTGGAATGGGAAACTCCAGTAATATTTTTTGTGCCATTGCATATATACAGAGTGCCCCTCTACCAAACTGGGTGGTGTGGCCGATTTCTTGATATGTAAAATATAATTTACTGAGGTGGGCTTCATTTGCAGGGCCTGTTGCAGTTTGATTGTTTGTAGCTGCTGGTTGTGGTGTTCAAGTGATTCTGGCATTTTCAGCAGCAGGCCTGAGTTGGTAAAGCAAGGGGAGGCCTCAGTGACCCAGGAGCCTGGGGCCGGCTGTGTCGCTCCGAGATCCTCGGAATCGGTGGAGCAGATGCTTTGCTTGGGTAGCCGAGGGCACACTTAGGGGGTGGCCTGGCCTTGCCTTGCATGTGCTCTAGCGTTCTCTGCTGCTCTTGTGCAGCAAACTTTGATCAGAGGCAGGAAATGGGACGGAAGGTGGGTTTCCTGAAAGAGAACGACATCAAGGCATAGCAGCCTTTTGAAGAAAAGAACACTTTGTAATTAGTGAATGCTCACTGTTTAGCTGTGCTTTGAGAAACAAACAATGTTTTTATCACTTACGCGTGGTTCCTGACCAAGTTTAGATCAGCAGGATCTCAAAGGACACACTAGGCACAACTTTGATTTTTTTACCGGGGAGCCTGAGAGTACCCATAGAAACCTCAGCTACATCATATGCTAAAATCCCCTGGTTAGAAGCATAACAAAAAAATTAAGTATTGCACGCTCTTATGACAACTAAAATGATAAGACTGGAATGTAAAGAAATAGCCTTAAAGCTTGTCTGTGTAATGAATTTATAATTTTTGAATTTAGATTTTTGTGTTGTAAATTTTAACATTGCATCTTGAATTCACTCACAATAACACTGCAAAAGTAGTATCTAATTGCATTATCTTCTATAGTTTTTCTCTTATATGGTTCTTAGTGTGAATGCACATGTATCTTAGCTACAACTAGCTAAAAATAACTGAGGCACTTTACAAAATAGCACTTAGTGTTAATGCTGATTGTAAGAGAAGAGGGACCCATACCTTTAAAAAGGTCTTTCTTGCCTTTTATCTGTGCTGGATTCAATTTCTGAAATGACACAGGACAGCAGTCCTGGAATTTCAGAATCCAGAGTTAATGAAATAAATTAGAAAAAAAAAAACCTATAAAACCACATGACTTCTTGGCAACTCAGTAATTGTCTAAGCAGTGAATGCTCTCTTGTTTGCAGTCAGTAAGTAACTGTGTTAGGATAGCTGAACAGCTGTTGCTATTGCATCTGCTCTATAGAGAAAGGCATGATACTGTAATAGAGCTGTTAGCCCTCTTGTACATTCATATCCTTTTGCACTCAATCCTGTTACACGTGCAGCAGGAGCCCCCTGCTGTTACAAGGGCTCTCAAACACTAAAACGAAATAGTCTTGCTATATCAAAACTGCATGGCTTGTGCTCGTGCATGTCTGGGGAAACATCTCTCCAGGTAAGGGCATCCTACAGCATGAAAGCTATATGCAAAATTTGCTAATAACTTATAGACACATCATTTAATACTCCAGAAGTTGAACCACCCATTGTATTTTGTCACAAACCCAGAGAAGTTATGGAAGTAGAGGTTTTTGATGTGTGTCTATATGTAAAAAAGCAAGAGTATGGTACTCTTATGTAAAGTGGTTTTATTACAATTTTTATTATATAGAGCAGCAAAGTGAGCCCTAACAAGCTGCAAAGCTTCAGGCAACACTAAAAATAAACTTCCATGCACTGGTTTGCTTCCAAGAAAACATTTGGTGCATTCAACTTGAAGAAATCTCTTCTTCATATACTGCTTTTCAAGACTCCACATCTTCCCACAGCCTTTTAAATCTTCTGTTCTGTAAAGGAAATAGAAAGTCCATAAAATCAGAAATTATGAGAGTCCCAGGAAGAACTGCTGCAAGACCTTTTACAAACTAAAAATGGGCAAGAGTAGAAGCTTCTCCACTTTTCCATAACATATCCTGAATGTGTGATGTGTTGGGCCTAGAAAATTGATCAATAAAATGACAGTTTATTCCAAGTGGCTGTTGCACTGTACTGCCAGGTACTGCACTTGAAATTCTGCTATAAGCATAATGCCCTTGATGCTGAAAGGCACAAGAAAGATCATTGAGAGAATGCAGTACTGCAAAAGCACTCAAAATAAGAACTTTTCAACTGACATACAAAGAAGAGAACACAGAGAACACATGGACAGCTTGAAGCTCTTCCCTAGTATGAAGATGAGCATAACTTAGAGCTCCGCTGCAACTGAGGTACTGACAGATATTGCTCAACAGCTTCCAAGTTTATTGGTGGTAGCTTCCGAGTTGTATGTGCATGAGCAGAAGATAAATGATCCAAGCTGGCAACCCTACAAAATTAAGGGATCTTCTTTTCAGGAAAATTCTTATTAAAAGTCTGATTATCCAAAATAAGAAACACCTGATCAGTACATTTCTGAATACAGCTCGGCTACATAAAGCAGCAGCATATAACGAAGCAACAATAACAAATGCCAGTCATTAGTGGACATCATTCTGCCTGCTACTTTTTTTCTGTCTGAATTCTAAAATCAGTAATAAATCCCAGATTAAAGTAACTTGAAAAATCCTTCACTGATGTAAATTCAGGCAAGTTCTGAGGAAAACAAAAGGCAAAATAAGAAAAAAAAAAAACCCCTCACAATTTACTCTCTCCTGAGGATTTCAGCATAGTACATATTAGGAGCTTTTGAGGAGGGCTGGTCAGAAGTGAGAGAAGGTAACCTACAATGCCTTGGCAGCTTCCTAAAAGATGCTGGCTGTACCTGAGATGAAAACTCCTCCGTTACCAGCAATTCCTCCCAGTTTAGAGTGCACTGAGTTTGTCACATTGGAGCCAATACTGCATAGTTTGTATTCTTGTTCATCCCTAGAAGATAAAGAGGGAGAAAGGTATAGGGAGAGAGAGAAAAAAAATGTAGAACTGCTTCACACAGCATCACAGAGCAACCTCTACAGATCTTAACATTTAGGCACAAATGACATGTCTGCATTCCCACTACCTTTCTGAAAATCACACATCTTTTACTAAATGTAAATTATGGTGCATTTTTGAAATCTGCAGATGCTCCCGTCTCTAACATTTTTCTACCAGTTGCTTTTTTTTTTTATGCTGTAATTTTGATTACCTATCAGTTGTATTGATATTATCTGCATACTTTTTTTTTTTCCCAGTATTTGATTAACACACTTAATCATTAAGCTTTCATTGATGGAAATGATTAACCCCTCTGGACACATGTTGCACATCTATTTTTTATAAAAATTAACCATTTCTACCATATTTATAGACAGTGGACTGCAGCAGCTTCTGTGACATGCATCATCTCTCCAGGAGTAAGGTGAACTTCTTTCAGTAGACAACTCCATAGTGTAGCTTTTCTTCCTGGTCAGGAATTTTTCCAGTCGACAGGTGTTGTATGACCACCAGAAAGTGATGAAATTATGTCACTGTGGAAAGAAAACAAAAGTGTTTTAATGTCGTTTTCTAAACAGTGTTTTAAAAATAATGCAAGTATGAATAGGTAGTGACACATCCTATTGGACACAATTTTCAGGACATACGACTGAGCCAGTGTGAAGAACAGCAAGTATGTTTGTAAGCTGGGGGGCAATGGGGTGCTACCTACACGTAGCACCACCTTAAGGGCAACTCTTTCCACTGTATTACACTTTTGTACACATGCCATTTTAAGGGCACAAAACCACAAATTCCCAAGGTTGCCTACAAAATACTCCACACTACTTTCTGGGGGCTGACTCACAAAAAAAAAAAAACAAAAAAAAAACAAAAAAAAACAAAAAAAAAACAAAAAAAAAAAAAACCCAAACACATGCAGAAACAGAAAGTTGCAGCATTTAAGAGACATTTTTGCAACTTGCAAAGTATTTAAAAAAAATCTTAAGTCAGGTAAGTCTTCCACCTTTGTGCTTCCTGTAAGGATAAACACTTCCAAAAAAATCTCTTCTCTTTCTGAATTCTTAGTCCTTATTTGCAGAAGTGAGATCTGCACAAACACATAAGCCCCCAAAGTCAGAACAGTGGTATCCAGATTTTTACAAGGCTTAAAGTTAGCTTATTAAGATTGTTGTTACTTTGATCACAGCTCAGGATAATGCAAAGTATATGCGCTAATTCCGCAGGCGTTAGTCGGGACGCTGCCGCGGCGCAAGCCAGGCAGTTCCCGCCGGGCACCCGCACCGCACGCGGCGGGAAGCGGGGCCGGGAGCCGCCACAGGCACAGAGGAGCAGAGCAGCGACTCGCAGCCGCCACAGACACCGAGGAGCAGCGCGCGGACTCACTCACCCCGGCCGGAGCGCCCGGCGCCGCCTCCGTCCCCACCGCACCCGCCGAAAGAGCCTGCGCGGCGCCGGCGCGGCCGCCTTTATAGCCCAGGCGCCTCTCCGTCGTCTCGCGAGAGCGCGAGCAGCCAATCCGTGCAGCGCCTGGCGCAGGCTGCTGGGCGGGGCTGCAGGTGACGGGGCCGCCGCCCTGCAGGGGAAGAGCAAGGGAAATGGCAGGGAGCGAGGCCGCAGAGCCAGGGGACACCTGGATCCTGGTTTTGGTGTCCCCAGCCCTTGGATTCCAGCAGCTCTTGGTGCCCTGAGCTCCTTTTAGTGACAAATTCAAAGTTCCAGGGGCCCGCTGTGGGCCACTGTTTTTACATGGGTGCCGCCTAACTTCTTCATCTGCTTCACAGTGCCATAAGTGCAGGAAGAGAAAACATGAACAAGAAAAGATATTTGCATAGTCAAAAACATGTATCTGTTAATTCACAATGTTGAGTTTGGAACATTTACTGCATCTCAGCATTTGGAGTACCAGGTTTTTGCTTCAGAGACCCAACAGGTCTCCAGTGCTTTAGGGTGCTTAAAAAGAAAGCAGTGAAATGGCACGCGTAAACTAGATATGGCAATGTCCATAGGCCAACTTATAGTAAAAGGAAAAATGTTAATTACACTCTAACGGAAGTACAAATACTCATAAAGGAACAAGAATACTTCACATAAATACCAGAGGATGCACAGTAAATGAAATTTTACAGGAAAAAAAAAGAAATATTTGCCAAACTATAGCTAAACGGCACGACAGTACATCTGCTAGCATGAGGGCAGAATATGTACATTTGGGAAACAAATCAAGTAGTTAGCAGCAAAATATGCAGACATTGACTTCAAATAGACCATTAAAGCAAAAAAGTGTTAGTATCTTCATCTAGGGGAATTCTATAAACATTTCAAAACCAGCGATGCGCAACAAATATCCGTCAAATGGTCTAAAATTGACATACCAACTAGTCACAGCAGCAACTATACATAAATATAGTCAGACCAATGGGACAAAGAGTCCTTTGATGCTTAAAAAGGTACAAGTGAAACTGAAATTTAATAAGAAGGCAAATAGTTAACCAGGAATAGGAACCAGCTGTGGTAGGAATAACTAGCTATGCTATACTACTGCAGCCCAGTTTGTAGTTTGCCATTACTGCTACAAGAGGGCACTGCTAACTCATGTTTTATTTGATGTCCATCACTGCAGAGTTCTGCGAGGCTGGAGCAAACTGGATTCTAGAAACAAATTTCTGTATTATCTATCATTAAAAAAAAAATCAGCTAAAGTCAAGCAAACAAACAGAAACAAAACCAAAAAAAATTCATTTTTTCAAGATCTTTTGTTGGTAAGCATGAAAACGTCATGTAACAGCAGGTTAAATAAGATGACCTACTTGTTGCAGAAGATCACTCTGTACCAGGAAGGGAGGAAGAAAAATCTGGATCATACTAGTACAAGTGGGCTCATCTTGATAATATTTTACTTATATTAGCCACATTACCACTGAGTTTAAGAGGTGAGTTTGCATTATTTTACCATTCCCCTCCTCCCTGAAATCACCTTTCTAGTGTTGATACAAAAAGCAAATGCTGCTGTATCTCGTGCTAAGAGGCCATTACAGTTTTAATGCTTTGTCCTAAAAAGATATTCCAGATATTATTAATCAGCGGTTAGATTTTTACAATTGTAATATCTAACAGTCAACAAACCTAGCACCTCTCAGTGCTGAGTGCCATAATCCACACTACTGTTCCTGGAAAAGTTACGTAATATATTTTCTGGAGGAGGCGTCTATACTATTTTACCTAGTATTTCATGTCATGATTTCGACTTAACAAGAGTTACATTCTCACAGTCAAACAGAGTGATAATAATCCAAACAGTTTTAAAGACTCTGGAGAGCCATGAGAATAAAGTCTTGGGGACAAATACTACAAATAAGAGATGTTAACTTCCAGACCACTTCGTGGATCAGTACTTTCCAAATTATTTTTCAAATGACATGAGGTATTAAAACCTTTCAAGTTCTGTCAACAGATAAAGGCAAAAAATGTAGATACGTGTATTCAGCTCATGTAGGCTACAAAAGTTAGTCAAATAGTCAAATAGTCAAAAATCTTACACTGGGCTTGATTGAAGCTTTTAAGAACTATTGAGGTTTGTGCCTGAAAGGTGTACTAATGCTAAGTACTAATGCTTAGGTATGTCAGATTAGACACTCCTAAATACTCTGTTACAAAATTAGGTGCATGAAATAAGACCAAAAATAGTGACAACTTCTTGGAAAAGCTGGACACCTAAAATCTCAATGAACAAGACAAATTTCAGGCTAAAGAGCATTTACAGCTAGAAATAGCAGTAGGTTAATAAAGATGAGAGACATAACTACAGCAGTGCTATAATTAGGTTATTTGTACTTCTCTGCTTTACAGAGGGCATCAGATGACACTTTGAAGCAGTTGCATGTAATAAATGGTGGCTTTACTGCAAATTGATCTTGCTTTTAAAACATTTTTACTTTAGATAATACAGATAGAACTTTTAATCTACTCTTATATTGGCATGCTAAATTTCAAGGTAAGCACTCACATTTCAAGCTAACTTCACTCTTGTTAGTGCCTACAATGAATTGAATCTTTGTTTATTTAAACAGACTCCTAAACTGTCAACTCTTTCAGGGTTGGATTATGAGAATAAAGAAAAAGAAATCAGTTTTTCAAAAATATATCTCACTCCTATTGCTGGGATAAGATTGTAATCCTTTACATATTTCATTCGTCTGCCATGTGTAAAGACAAGCCTTTTTGTAAAGGTGCTTGCATTACAACTAAAATACATGCAGTCTTAAGCATCTTGAATAGAATTGTTATTAAAACAAATTCAAATAAATCAAATCAGAATCCCAATAACCTCTTCCTATAGATGTGAGACTTCAGATAATGGGCAAGATCTAGAGTAGGAATACAGTGAATTAACTTGACTTTTGTGAAAAGGACATCCCATTCAAGATAACGCTTTGAATTCCTCAGGAATAGTAACTTCAGTTTAATGGAGTGGTTGACATTTTGACATAACAGTAGGTAGTCACTGCAGTATTATTTGTATAAATTTATTTATCTGCTCATCAGCTATAGAACTACACTTAGATTTCCCTCTGAAAGAAGGAAGCGACTTCATCCTCATCTGTTTTGTACATCATATTCTATTCGGTCATTAATTCCTTCTTGAAGGATTGGTCAGATCGACTGCTCACTGTAAATACCTATTTAAAACCTCTAATCTGTCAGGTCTTCTGAATTATTTGGATACTCTCTTGGATTGGATTCAACTAGAACACTAGAAAAGAGTCTTTAATTATACTCAAAGAAACGTAACCTTATTTCTGTACATTTTCTAACATTCCAGTGACTTAGGTATGCATGGTAGCATGATGAAACTGTAGCACTGAGTCTTTTGCTCCTCTTCAGGTCAGGAAAAAGTCCTGAAAACTGTGTCCTTTCTAAGGCAGATAGAGCCTGGCCCCCAGGTTGGCTGTGGGATCTTGCTACATCTTTCTAACCAGGGATTGAAGTGCAGAACACATTTTTTTTATATGTTATTCAAGTTAGTGGAAGTTGTAAGACTCATTCCTAGATGAACAAAATCTCTGCTCTGCGTGTACTTAGACTTCATTGCTTCAGTCTGTGCATTTTATTCTAATCTGATTATACAGCACAGTGAATAGCATCAACTTTCAAGGCTAGGGTAGCTCAAATTAGGCTTGGGAGGAATTTTGACTTTGATGTACTCAATAAGAAAGTTACAAAACATTAATTTTCACCAAAAAAAGGAAAAAAAAATCAAGATATATTGCAAAATGCCAGTATCCTCTATGAAATTTAGAATTTCAAAGGAAGTAACTTTTGATTGGTTAAATTTGCTTTTCTCTCCCCAACTTACTAGCACAGCGTTTTGAATTTTTTTGGCCACTGCAATGACATTGACCATGAGAAGCAGAAGTGCTTAAAAAAGAGATAAGATACACATTTCAGTGAGCTAATGATTAATTTGAAAAGTTCATAGAATGACTGTAGTGTCTTTTTTTTACTAAGTACAGTGCAAATCAATAAATAGACCTT